GTGCAAAATCATCATGAACAACCGTGTGTGTTGCTGGCCTGAATTTTGCTTCTCGAGCAGTCAGATTCTCAATTTTCAAATTCATCTGAAATATATATGGCACCTCCACGAGCATCATATGCCCGATCTCTGGCTGGGACACTGATTCAACACTGACTCCGAGGGGAGACTGCCACCTATTAAACACTGAAGGCAATTTTGACTGGTGGCATTTTTCCACGAGCCAAGGTATATAAGCTCTTGCCAACCATTATCTCATCACCACTGACTAACCAGCTCCTTTGATTTGCCAGTGTTCTGAAGCATTATTAGCTTGGTAGGTGTGTCAGCTCATCCTGCTCTCCCAACAAGACTGATGATAGCTTGGGGCTGCCATGGCAGCTCCACACCCAAGCAGGCAAATATGCGGGAGTGGAACACGGCATTAGGCACGCTCAGAGGTGAGCATCGCCATATGCAATTTTAAATGCAAAATAAAATAATCATAGGTAAATGCATGGAAGGGAGGGAAGCCAACAACCTGTGGGGAAATCCATACTACCTGCAGGAATCCCTAGTAAGCAGGCTCTATATGGATGATGCAAGAAGGCTGGGAGGCAAACAGCACCCTCCAGTCTGTGAGTCAGGGCCCCAGGACTGTAACCCAATGGGAGGGAACAACAACTACAGTCCTTCTATGTCACTTGCATGGGGCACTGTGGGATAGTGGACCAGTGTTAACACGGCTCTTGCAGCCCCTCCCCATACTGACCCATTGCTTGATAATAATGATGGTGACCATGCCTACCGCATGCAGTGGGAGTGGGGTAAGCACCTACTGGGCATCAACTTTGCCTGTATTCCCATCATGTAGCCCCAATGTAAGGCTTCAATGGTGCCTTCTGAAGCATGGATCAATTTCCCCTGCATCAAGGAGAAGGGGGGATCTATAGGAAAATTAAGCTCACACCATGCAGAGCCTCTCACATCTGTGAGGGGATCCTGCTCTCTTTCCATACTCTCTCCTGACAGTGAGCATGTTTCCCTCAAAAGCTGTGGCTCCCAGCTGCTGCTGAGCCTTTTCCTCTCCTCCTGGGGGAGCGAATACTGTGAGGGAGTGAATGCTGACTGGAAAAGAGTTAAACATCACTAGACAAGAGAAACCTCTTTGCCACCCCCTGTATTTGGGGACATACCACACACAGCGATCACTCGCTGGCTCCGTTTCCCCCGTCACCTAACACACCCTGCAAATGTCTTCAAGGTGGAAAACATCTTTGGGTCTTTTCTAGTGTATTTTTCGCCTCTGTATTGCTGAAGGAAAGGGAAGATTTTTTAAAAGTTTAAAAACGAACCCTCCAAATGTAACAGGAACAGATATAAACAGCTCCTGGAGCAGGAAAATAGGAAGCAGAGTGTACAGGGGAAGAAGTGGAGGTCAGCAGCATTTCAAAATGGATTTCAGTGACATATCACAGTCCAAAACACTAGACTGTATCAGAGTGAAGAGTCTGGACCAAAACCCCAGATCAAAACACCCCCAAAGACCATATAAAAAATCACGAGTATGTGAACTGTAAAAACTTGGTCCTATCACTATATCTATATCAATGCTGGTCTGAACAAAACCTAGATCCAATTTTCTCTGCACTCCAGAATATAGATATGAACTTTGCAACTGTGGTCTGTCCCCAACTCATCAGGCAGCCCTCTTTTGCAGAGAACTTTACTGCCCGGTTGAATGTGCTCACTTCCCATGCTTGGGAGTTCTAAATTCTCTCTTTTATTATATAAACAATGAGTAGTTGCATGGCACTTTAGAGACTAACAAAACATATAGGATCATGAACTTTCATGAGTAAAATTCACTTCATCAGACATTGACCCTATCTGGTTCTTTTATATACAGGAAACCCCCGACTTCCGACCGCCCAAATTACGACCCTCCACACTTACAACCCTTTTCATAAGTGCAGAAGGAGCCAAAAAAACTCCAACTTACATCCTTGGCCCACATTTACGACGACGCATGGTGCCTATCATAAATGGGCGCTCAAGTTATGATGCCCCTGACTTGCGACGCTTCCCTGGGAACCAATCGTGTTGTAAGTTGGGGGCCACCTCTAATTTATTTTAAAAAATCCAAACAAAGAAACAACACAGGCCCAAGCCAGGTAAGCTAAGGCTCACCATAGGATGGATGACACTGCACAAATTGGGATGGATGAAGAGAGTGTTAATCTGGGGAAACACTTCTCTATCCATGTAGCAGGGGCAGTCATCGTCTGCCTTCTAGTGCCTGTGGCTCCACTGTGCCAGTTATTTGAGTGCCCTCCACCAACATCCTTGCAGTCCTGGGCAACAGGCTATTTACAATATACCCTGTGTTTCCAGCCCTCACCTCAGGACCTTCCTTCCTTGAGGTCTCTGTAAGAGTGGGCTCAGCTAGCCCTGTTCCTTTCTCTCTCCTACCAGTGGCTTCCGGTGTCTGTTTGGAGCTGATGAACTAATTACCACAATCAACTTTGCCTGGGGGCACTAACCCGCCTCAGAGTGATCAGAGTGGAGGCTTGCCTCTTAACTCCCTTTGCAAATGTGGGGGATTGGGGTGGGGGGGGCATAGCACTGAATCTCCCTGCTATAACAGAAGGATTGAAAAATAGATTCATCCTTATCAAAACAACAGATCAAGCTGAGTACTTACTCTTTTTTTAATTCTTTCCTCTTCCTGCCTTTGCCACTCGTCTGCCTCCTTTGATTACCCCTTCCTTCCTTTCTGCCGTCCTCTCTATTCAGAGGCAACATACTTCATTCCCTGCATACTGGAGCAGGAGATTATAGGGGAAGTGCCCAGACACATGTAGACCAATTAAATGTTGGCAGCATAACCAGTGTTTCCACTACGCGAGTTGGAAATTTTTAAATGTCAAGTTGGCCACTGTGGATTGATGCCTCCCCTCTACATTTCTCTGCATCAAGCAGCTAACAGAGTAGGCATTCATTGTCGTCAACTGTGTTGCTGCAAATCTCACTTTAAGACCATTCACAAATGTTCATATGCTAAAATCCCTCCTCTTTCAGCAGGTCTCTCTCATAATCCCATGCCACCAATGACTTTTAGCAAAAACAAACAACAAACTATGACTGCAGACTCTCACTCACTCTCTGTTTAGTGATCTCACACAATATAGAAAGCATTGTCATTCCGTGTAGCAAAACACACTATCATTGTAAAAATGTCTATGAAAGAGGAACTCTTGGCAGGTCCTTTAATTTTCCACGCAACTCAGCAAAATATTATGAGGGCTTCATCTTGTTCTTGAGAGAAGCCTCATTAAAATGAATGAAATTACTCACATGAGTAAAACAAAGAAGATTCAGTGTATGACACTATTTACTTAAATATTGAAGATATAGAAACTGAAAAGTTTAGAAGAATCCATTAGTATGATACCTTAGTATCATTTTGAACTTGCATAATTCCTTTAAGTAATGAGTTAGATAATAGATTTTAAAGCTGATAAATACATATAGGCTTTGTATGCACGGACTTTACATGATCTGAAGCCATCCAGCAACACAACTGGTCTCTGGAAAGGATGTTACTCCCAGAACAAACTTCACAACTTGCTTCAAGGCAATCTTTCTGAGTATAGACCCAAACCTTGCTGGACTTTTTCACATAAGCAGCCGTCAGCGGGAACTATATTGTGGGAGTAAGGGGATTAAGAGCCTTTACACACAGAATTCATTACAGGTCTGATCAAAATACAAACAGAACTGCTATGATACAGGAGAACCTCAGAGTTACGAACACCAGAATTATGAACTGATGGGTCATAAGTTACACACTGAAACCGGAAATAAGCAATCAGGCAGCAGAAGAGGGGAATAAAAGGGCAAATTCCATACAGTACAGTGTTAAATGTAAACTATTAAAAATAAAGGGAAAGTTAAAAAAGATTTGACAAGGTAAGGAAACTGTTTCTGTGCTTTTCCATTTAAATTAAAATGGTTTAAAGCTGGGGTTTTCTTTGCATAGTAAAGTTTCAAGGCTGTCTTAAGTCAATGTTCAGTTGTAAACTTTTGAAAGAACCACCATGTTTTGCTCAGATTTATGAACAACCTCCATTCCCCCGGGGTCTGTAACTCTGAGGTTCTACGGTACTTTAATATGTGTTTGGGGATGGAGGAGGGAGGGAAGGAAGATCCTTATCTAATCCTTTAAATACATCGTACTAGAAAAAACCCTGCTCATTGTCACTGTGTGTAGCACAAAGTACCATAATTTTTTAAATGTCTATGAAAGAGGAACCTATTGCAGGACCTTTAGTTCTCTGTGCAACTCAGCAAATTTCTATGAGGGTTTCATCTTGCTTGTCTTGTTACTGAGAGAAGCCCCATTCAAATGAATAAGATTGCTCACATGAGTAAAACAAAGAGGATCCAGTTTATGACACTGTTTTCTTAAATACTGAAGAAGTAGAAGCTAAAAAGTTTAGCAGAACCTGTGATACTAGACTAGGAGTTCAGATACACGCCCTGGTGACTTCGGCTTTGGACAAAGATCTAAACATGATACATGAACTAAAATAGTTCTTCATTTTCTACTACTTCATTCCTATCTCTGATTTATTTGGTTACACATTTCCATGATATTGGACCCAATTCTGCCTTCTAATAAGCATTCACAGATCCACCTGGACCCAATCATAATAATAAACTTGAGGAATTAACCCCACTGACTTCAATGCAAATTGCATGGGTGTAAACCATATATTTGTGAAACTGGGAATCAATGTGTAGATAAGACACACATTTATTTGTGTCTTCTTACTTAATATGATACAACAGTAAGAAGGCAAGGAAGAAAACAATCATATCCAAAGGTCTTTCTTTACTAAAGCCAGTCTATGGAACTAAAGGTATATATGATGCTACTTGTGATCATTAATGATCTCTTGGCTGCTAACCAGTGTGCCAAGATAAACAAACATCCTTGCTATTACAAATCCCCATACCTGCACAACAGGATGTCCCCCAGCAGAGGCCTTCACCGCCCCTCGACTTCCCTCAGTCTCATAATGAGCTCTGTGATGGGATTTGGGCTGCTCTTCAATCCGAAGTTCATAAGGTCCTGAGTGAGATGGCAGCTGCCAATCAAGGGCAGGCAGGGATGGGCTGTAATGGAAGAGAAAGTGTATTAAATATTAACAGCAAGTATGCTATCATTGACCACAAGAATCTGGTTCTATTACTTTAGAGACCATGTTTAGCAGTTCATCCTTCATCATCTTACACTTAAAATTTCATCAATATGGATGTCATGACATAAGTAATTTAAAAGGCAATGGTTATTTTATGAAGATTTATGAGTAAAGCATAATTGATGGGCCAGATGCTATCAGATTTGTAAACAAAATGGAAAATTTTCTAAGCATGGTTTAAAAACGCTTTAGTGTATTGATTGTGGAATCAAAGGACAAAGGTGGATACAATGGAATTTAAAGAGTGGTTCTAGTCTGAAAAAGACTATTACATTGACATTTTGGAAGCTCTACATTTAATGTATCTCAGTGACTAGACCAAATCTGCTTCATTTACAAGAAAAAACACCTCCACCTCCCAACTTCCGTGCCTGAAAACCTATGCTGGATTCTCAAAATTAAGCAAGGTTCTTTCTGGGTGATATTTCATCAACAGTGTAGATCTTCAAGCAGAAATGAATTAAGAATTACATTGCTGATGATTATATACTTCCAGAATAGAATCCAGTTCAGGCTCTTAGTTCCATATTGACTCTGCAATAATAACAGAAGTAAAAATAATAGAGGCATTTTGTCACTGAACAGTCATGGCTGAATACAACAAGAAGAAGCTAAAGATTTTACAGAGCTGTTTTCAGAGAATCACACTTTAAAATAATGTCGAGAGAGCATTACTGAAATAAGTGTACTGTTTATGTCAGAAAATAAAACCATTGGTTGTAACTATATTTGAAAGGCTTAGGCTCACTGTAACTTAATTGGTCTTAAAATTAAAGTAAGCCACAGATAGGAATAATAAGTTTTAGGTCGACTGCATAATCCTTCAAAGCATTGAAACTGGTAGTCTCTTAACAGAGTGACCTTCAAGCATACCATCAATTATTCAAACAGTACAACAAATTTACAAGAGATTGTTAGGGTATGTCTACACTACAGCGCTAATTCGAACTAACTTAGTTCGAATTAGTTAATTCGAACTAAGCTAATTCGAATTAGCGCAGCTAGACTTAAAAACTAGTTCGAATTAGCATTTTGCTATTTCGAACTAGCATGTCCACACAGAGTGGACCCTGAACAGAGGTTAAGGATGGCCGGATGCAGTGCCGGCAGGGCATCAGATGAGGACTTAGAGCGTGGAGCTGCTGTCTCAGGCTAGCCGAGGGCTGTGCTTAAAGGGACCTGACCCCCATCCCGGACAGACAGTTCTCAGGGTTCCCCGCTTGCAAAGCAGTCCTGGCTTGGAGTGCCCTGAGTGCCCACACGCGGAACATCACAGCACTTGGCCATCGGCCTGGCTGCACTTGCCGCAGGCTGCCATCCGGGGGGAGGGGACAATCGGGGGGCTGCAGGAGAACTTCCACCCTGAGAAGACCGCAGAGCCAGCCCAGTCCTCCCCATCAGGGGCGCGTACCCCATTCCTCCCTC